TGCTGCGGACATCTTTTCAGAAAATAGCATCATAGGTTCGCATTTTTCCACGCTTTCGTCTTCTTTGATTTCACCAGCGGTGACCGTGACATCCATGGCAGGTGCTTCATTGAATCTGCTCCAAAATTCGGGAACTTTGTCATCTGCCTTCGCTGTTTGAAAACTTTCACTTTGGGTACTTTCAGCACTTTTACTTCCTTCATCCAACACGATATTGTCGGCTCTTTGTTCTTCTATCAGTTTCCCAGAAATATAGCCTTCTTCATTAATTCCATATGCATCAACCTTTTCTTCTTTGACCTTGAAGTTTAACTGTGTGTTTGCTTCATTTTCTTTGTCTGCCTGCACTACTATTCCTCTCGTGATATCCTCCTTGACAGCCTCAGTTTCTGTAACTCCAGACAAAGGATAACTTTGTTTCGTATTTACGTTCTTTCCCTCAGATGTCATGTATTTGTCACCTCTTTCTTCCACTGACGACTAAGATGCCAAACATTCTCCTGGACTGGAACTAGCCAGTTTCAATCTGCTGGTTTTATTCATCTCATCCTTGACTTTGTATAAACTTTCTTCCACTTTAGGTGAAAGACAACTCTCATCTGTACTCATACTTTCTGTTTTCACTCGTGATGCTTTGCTTTTTCCATCTTTAAATTTGCTACTCTCATCTACCTGAGTGACCTTTTCATCCAAGGGACTTGCAGTCTTACTCTCCTCTCCTTTTCCCGCATGCAAATTTGACTTCCCTTGTGTTGAATGAGATTTCTTTCCTGTTGGAAAACTTTTTGAGGTTCCACTCTTTGAACCCTCTTGAGCCCCTGATTTCTTATCAGCAGTCTCTGTTGTCTTTGCAACTGTGCTTATAAGGCCTGGTATTGGAATAAGGTCACTTATGTCACATATCCCAACATGTTTTGTCTCAGAGCTTGAGTTGGATGTGCTGTCCTCTTTTTCATCCACTGTCTTGTGTTTGCGATTTTGCTTGTCTTGGTTATGTGGATTATTTTGTGTGTAAATGTAGTTCTGAACAACACCTTCAATGCGAGTCTGGAAGCTTTTGGCTTTGCTATCAAGGGCTTGGGAGATCAGTTGCTTTATACCTCGCTCCAACACTTCCGATCTAAAAAAAAATTATTACAACAAATTACATGTATTATATCTCTCATTTAGTGCACTTGCTATGATTGGTCAATTAAGCAGGCCATAAATTATTTCACTGTCCTACCTTCTTAATTTAAAAGTTTGTTTGAATTGACTTCTCCCCCCCTCCTTAATATCTTACTGAGGAAGTTCTCTCAGTCCATACCAAAGTTACTGAACCTCATTATTTCCGATCTATGGTCTGACTGCTTTAGGTTTGGGCCATAAATGCAGGCAGAATAAACTTGGTTTGGAGGTCAATTTTATCAGAGCAAGTTATCTTATCTTTAAAACAAATCTGTACAATAACCCTAAATCCCAGAGATGATTAACATATAATTTCTCCCTATAATATCCATACATACAGCAAACAGGTAATGAGAATACTCAAAGTTTTCAAGTAGAAGTTGTTAGCTCACCAAATTCTCAATAATAATAATAATAATAGTAAGGTTTTTATGAGCACATTTAAGAATCTCAGTGCACTTACATAGCATAATAAAAATAAAATATAACAATGATACTAACAGTCAGTAGTACCTACACTGACAAAAATAAAGTTTAATGGGACAAAAACCTATGTAGTGTTTCACAATACTAAAAATAAAATTTCAGAAATAGGAATGTTTTAAGGGCAGATTAATTTTAAAAGATGAAAGAGAAGCTGCAGATTTAAGAGAATCACGAAGAGTATTCCATGATGTAGGGGCACAGAAGGAGAACACACGTTCTGTACGGCTACATTAAGTAGGTGCACAGAAGGAAATGTGTAGCAGCTAGAGGGGAGAATTAACAATCAGATCTTGGTCATTAAGGGTTAAAGTAAGATAAGCTACAGAAACTCTTTTCGCCTGAGATCAGTTAACTATACAAACGAGTAATGGCAATGGCCAACTAGAACAAAGGTAAACCTCAGGAGGAGCAAATAAAATCTTGTGGTACATATACACATCTGATTGGTTTAGAAGGTAGGGCAAGCTTTTAGGAACAACCACAAGGCAAAACCAAT